ACCTAAGGTAAACAAGATGATAAGAGATGTATTTACCTAAGATAAACAAGATGATAAGAGATGTATTTACCCAAGATGAACAAGATGATAAGATATGTATTTACCCAAGATGAACAAAATGATAAGAGATGTATTTACCTAAGATAAACAAGATGATAAGTGATGTATTTACCCAAGATGAACAAGATGATAAGAAATGTATTTACCCAAGATGAACAAGATGATAAGAAACGTATTTACTCAAGATGAATAAGCATGTTTTACTTTTCAATTTGCATGCTGTTTTTCAGAGTGCTGGATGATATTTTAAGTAAAGATGGCGAATATTTTTTTTCTGCTAGCGCTATCTGGTGATCTTGTTGTAAACATATTAAAATTCTTTCAAATAGCTCTCAATAATTATTCATAAAAGACATAATTAACCTCTCGAGTCATCAGGAAGTTAATGGATAACCAAAATAAACCGTAGTACAAGTGTATTGTTACCGAAATATTTAGCCCCCAGTGGCACAGCGGTATGCCTGCGGACTTACAACGCTAGAATCCGGGTTTCGATACCCGTGGTGGGCAGAGCACAGATAGCCCATTGTGTAGCTTTGTGCTTAATTACAAAACAAACTGAAATATTTGTGTGAAATAAATTAAAAACATTTTATTACACTTTAAAACGATATGGTTATTTGAACCGGACAAGATCTAAATAACTTACTTTACTGCGTATGTGTTCTTTTTTTTGTTCTTTTATCCACTGACGGCATTGTAATAGAATATAATATACGTTTGTAGCTGTCGACGTACGAAGAGCACGTGTGAGAAAAATAAAACGTAGATCAAGTAAAAAAAATAAATAAATGAACCGCTAATGTGTACAGACTAAACCATCCAGCACCTTTCGGCGTGTAAGAGTACTGATTGTTTATACTTACGGTATGCACCACATGAGAAACTTGAAGGATGTGGTGCATACCGTAAGTATAAACAATCAGTACTCTTACACGTTCAAGTTTCTCATGTGGTGCATACCGTAAGTATAAACAATCAGTACTCTTACAGATAAACTTGAAAAACGATTTGAAGAATCAGTTTAAAAAAACCAGTTCACTTCGTTCATTTTTTTTTTACCAGAAGTACCTGTTCTCAAGTGGCTCAGCGTTAGATCTGAAAGCTCATAATATTAAAAACTGGGTTTCGATACTCGTGGTTGGCACAGCACAGATAGCTCATTGTGTAGTTTTGTTCTTAACAGACAAACAAACAAACTAGGAGTGCCTTTTGTCAGTGGAAGAATTTCTTGGAAAACAAATGAGGGCCTGAAGTGTAACCATCTAATTATGTGATCAATCATTCCCCCTATCTATAAGGTAACCTTAATTCTTTTATTTACCCGATGTATTGTTCGATTTTCAAACAATAAACGCTTGTGATCAACTTGAAAGATATTTGTCGAACAATCATAAGATCAAAATTATTTCAACACTTTGGGTCGCGCGTGGTCTAGTAGTAATTGTGCCGGTTATATGAATCCAAGGGTTCATGGTTCGCTACCCGTGGCCGAAAGACTGACGGTCGTATCTCTCTATTCGATCAGACAAGAGTATATCAAGTGTCGGTGTGAATGATGGTAAACTAACTGTCTTCCTTCTCGTCTATCAGTTCAGAATCAGAGACAGATAGTTGTAGCTTTGCGCGAAGATTTTCAAACTAAAAAAACAAACAAAAAACAGAACAAATAATAATAACTGTGTTTTTCATGACCTATAGCCCGGCATGGCCAGGTGGTTAAGGCACTCGACTCGCAATCTGAGGGTCGCGAGTTCGAATCCCCGTTACACCAAACATGCTCGCCCTTTCAGCCGTGGGGGCGTTATTTAGTGACGGTCAATCCCACTATTCGTTGGTAAAAGAGTAGCCCAAGAGTTGGCGGTGGGTGGTGATGACTTCCCTCTAGTCTTACACTGCTAAATTAGGGACGGCTGGCGCAGATAGCCCTCGTGTATCTTTGCGCGAAATTCAAAACAAACAAACAAACATGATTTATATTCATGCACTTAAACACGAACGTATTCGAATATAGATAATACATCAGATTATTATACGAAGAAACGTTTGAAAGTGTTTTAAGCCTATTTGTTCTGTTTATCGTGTTTAGCCGAAGTGCAGCCTGCACGTGCACCCGAGCCAGCCTCAATTAAGCCGCAGGAGCAAATGTTAAACCGAAACCAAATTCTACAGCAAGCCACTACCGCCATTGATTCCATGCAAGAAGACAGAAAATATTACAATAGTCAGAGACGTGGATCTTCTCTTGAAGACAGTGGAGACTACCAGTGGTGTGTGGATGACGAATGTGATAGGTATGTTTAACATATGTTTCTTGTAAGTTTTAAAGTCACCTCAATAAAGCTCGATCGTTACAGATTAAGGAAGGTCACAAAATATTTCAACAAAATAGAGGAAAAATTAATAAATGATTTATTGAAATAAGCAAGAAAACAGAGGTAATGTATATTGTATAACATTTTTTTTTACTATTGTGTCACGTAAATCACAGTTACATCGTTACATTTGTCTGTAGGAAAGGGGGCTTAAAAGAAGCTTTACTGATGTATCAAAGTGATATTAATATTCAACCCCCCCCCCCAACATGGCTCAGCATTAAATCTGAAGTCTTATAACACTAAAAAATCGGGTTTCGATACCTGTTGTTGGCACTGCACAAATATATCATTTTGTAGATTTGCGCTTAACAACAAACAAAAAATACCCATTTCACTCAAAAAATATATTTTTTTATGGGGGCGCCACTGATCTCAACTAGTAGGACTAGATCCTCTCTTCCGAGATGTAAGCACCTTAATCAAAGGGCGAGCATGTTTGGTGTGACGGGGATTGCGAGTCGAACGCCCTAACCACCTGGCCATGCCGAGCCCTGATTTAGCAAATAACTTGTCATTTGCAAAACTACGTATTTTTAGCAGTTTGATATATGATTTGGGGTGTTATAATGTGACGCACAATCCCACTATTCGTTGGTAAAAGTGTAGCACAAGAGTTGGCGGTGGGTGGTGATGACTAGCTGCCTTCCCTCTAGTCTTCTAAATTAGGGACGGCTAGCGCAGATAGCCCTCGTGTAGCTTTGCACGAAATTCAAAATAAACAAAAAAAATTTATTTATCAGCAAGGATAAGCATCTTAGTTTAAAACATATTGTATTATAGCATTTAGAAATAAAAGTATTCAATACTACAGTGCATTTTAAAACTTTATTTAATTTGTTCCTTTTTGGTATTTTTCAATTTTCACCATGTTAAAATGGAAAGATGTTCGTATTTTTTGTACATTGGTTTCGTCATTCATTGAATGAACAATCTTCTGAGATTCCCATGCTTAAACATCAAGCACTTCTATTATTGTACAAACGCTATTGGCGTTCTCACACTGACACGTCCTTATACGTAAAATAGGTGGACTTGGTGTGGCATAATAGCTAATGCGCTGGACTGCGGGGTGAAAGGTCCAAGAGCAAACAAAAAGTTACGATAAGCTCCAGTGCAGTAAAATTCCTCACGGCAAGGAAACAACGCCTTAATTACAAAAAGCTCCACTGCAGTACAAATTTGCAGCTTCATTGAAGTATAGGTTGGCACTGTAGGGAAGGAAAAACATAGATACGAAAAGTAAATACACATGCAGGTAGTTACAAATAGTTTCACTGAAATAATCGTTGACATTACAGGGAAGGCTACAGTATAGTTACCAACAGCTTCCCTGCAGTATAAATACACATGCGGGTAGTTACAAATAGTTTCACTGAAATAATCGTTGACACTGCAGGGAAGGCTACAGTATAGTTACCAACAGCTTCCCTGCAGTATAAATACACATGCAGGTAGTTACAAATAGTTTCACTGCAATAATCGTTGACATTGCAGAGAAGCCAAGAGTGTGTTAAGAACAGCTGGGCTGCGGGACGTAAGGCTCAAGATTAGATCTGTAATATGCATCTGAACGCACTTTCAGCAGTCAGAATCTTATAAGTATGATATTCAGACCTGTTATGAGCACCCGTGTAGGCAGTGGCTGCTGCTGACTGGTTGATTTCCTTATGGTAAACAGTTTGAAATTGAGATACTTTCGATATGCTCTTGTCGCAGTGTTATTGATGAAGATGGAATTTCTTGGAAACTGTCTAATTCAGTGACAACTGGCAAGTCGAATGATAGATTGGGTTCACATTTCTTTGCAGTCAAGTAGCAGTGAAGCTACTTTTAAGTGTATGTTGAAATACGATGGCACTATAGATCACTAAAAACGATCTTAAAGCTAAAGCGCTTTCGAAAATTGACTTTTCTTTAACATATTTTTTAAAATATAAAAGCTCACTCTTCAAAATCCGTTGAGCATTTGAGACACTTTTTTTTCACTTAAATAGGCTTCGTTTTAAAAGAATAAGCATTTATGAAGGTTTCTAAATTTTAGGATTGTCGTTTGTTACTAAGCATAAAGCTACACAAAGGGCTATTTCTTCTCACGACATTTCTTCCGCAAACATACCACTGTGCCACTTAAATTATAAGAACTGTGATACTACTTAAAAATTGATGACATAAATTTTACTGGTCAATCTAATATATTCTTTTCCATTTCAGAGAACTGAATATAAGTCTAACCATGGATTCACACAACACCACCCTCTCACCTGATCAAGACAGTTTAAATTACGACGACATTTCTAAACATCTGGATGCCAGTCTGGCGGAAATAGACATGGAAACGTTCCAATCAAAGGATATTACTTCCGCATTGACACTTCCTGGAATATTCGGCTCCGAGAGTTCGATCGAGGGTCATCTAGGTGGAGAAAACTGTGCTTCTATATCTGCCTCACTTTTAAACGATTTTGAATTGGAATGTTCTTTCGGGTGAGTGTCAGTAAGGAGGGGGACAAATTTACAAGTTTATAGAAGTCCTGAAAAAAATAGAATAAAACTCATGCTATAAATATGTAGTTAAAACAGTCCTGAAAAAATAGAATAAAACTCATGCTATAAATATGTAGTTAAAACAGTCCTGAAAAAATAGAATAAAACTCAGTCTATAAATATATAGTTAAAACAGTCCTGAAAAAATAGAATAAAACTCATGCTATAAATATATAGTTAAAACAGTCCTGAAAAAATAGAATAAAACTCATGCTATAAATATATAGTTAAAACAGTCCTGCAAAAAGAATACAACACATACTATAAATATATAGTTAAAACAGTCCTGAAAAAAGAATATAACACATACTATAAATATATAGTTAAAACAGTCCTGAAAAAAGAATATAA